TGAGATGTCTTACGCCTTCTGCCTCTTGTGATGCGAGGACAGGGCTTGTACACCGGGATCGATCAGGGTGCGCCGCACGAGATCCATCCCCGCACGCGGAATCCTCGCAGCCGCACACGACCCTGAGGTAAATACGAATGACCACCAAAGATATCGTCGTCGAAAAGGAAATCGGCGGCCGGATGATGCGCATCGAGACCGGGAAGATCGCGAAGCTCGCGACCTCCGCGCTCTTGATCTCGCACGGCGAAACCACCGTCATGTGTACCTGTATGCGTGCGACCCCACGCCCGGGACTCGACTTCTTCCCGATGCAGGTTGACTACCGCGAGAAACTCTCCGCAGGAGGCAAGTTCCCAGGCGGATTCCGCAAGCGTGAAGGCGCTCCCAACGAAAAAGAAGTCCTCACGATGCGCATGATCGATCGTCCGATCCGCCCGCTCTTCCCAGACGGCTTCATCGAAGAAGTCCAGATGCAGTGCTGGGTCATGAGCCACGACGGCGAGAACGACGCGGACGTCATCGCTGGTACCGGCGCCGCCGCGGCTCTGTCGATCTCCGACTGCCCATTCGAAGGGCCGCTCGCGACCGTGCGTGTTGCTCGTATCTTCACCGACGACGGCGCTCAGTTCGTCCTCAACCCAACCGTCTCCCAGCTCGACTTCTCCGACATGGATGTCGTCATCGCTGGTCACAAGGACGGCGTGAACATGATCGAAGTCGGCGCCGCGGAAGTCCCAGACGAGGACATCCACGCCGCGATCAAGTTCGGATACGAAGAAGGCGTCAAGCCGATCCTCGAACTCATCGAAGAACTCGTCAAGAAGGTCGGCGTCGAGCCACGCATGGGTGACCACCTCAACCTGATCCCTGAAGAGATCATGGACAAGGTCGTCTCCATCTGCGAGAAGGACCTCACCGAAGCGCGTCAGATCAAAGGCAAGCACGATCGTGGTGATCGCGTCGCTGAGATCAAAGCATCCGTCATGGAGCAGTTCCCGATCAACGACAGCGGCACCCCTGCTGAATGGGAAGCAACCAAAGCCGCGAATCGTCAAGCTTCTGAAGCGTTCCGCAAGCTCGAGAAGAAGATCACTCGCAAGCTGATCGTCGAGAAGGGCATCCGTGCCGACGGCCGTGGTCGTACCGAGATCCGTCCGCTCGAAATGCACGTCGGACAGTTCGCTCGCACCCACGGCTCCGCGTTCTTCCAGCGCGGCGAGACTCAGTCGCTCGTCTCTTGTACCCTCGGCACTGGCCGCGATGAGCAGATCATCGACGGCTTGCTCCCTGAGTACTCCAAGAAGTTCTACCTGCACTACAACTTCCCGCCGTTCTCCGTCGGTGAAGCGGGTCGCATCATGGGACCTGGTCGCCGTGAAGTCGGTCACGGGGCACTCGCTGAGCGCTCGCTGCTCGGGATTCTCCCATCACCAGAAGAGTTCGCGTACACCATCCGCCTTGTTTCGGACATCACCGAATCCAACGGCTCGTCCTCGATGGCATCCGTCACCGGCGGCTGTCTCGCACTCATGGACGCAGGTGTCCCCATCACCAACACCTGTGCAGGGATCACCGTCGGTCGCTTCGCGGACGAGAACGACGAGAACGAAGTCCTCGTCACCGACATCATCGGCGAAGAAGACTTCTTCGGCGACATGGACTTCAAAGTCTCCGGCACGCGCGAAGGCATCACGGGTATCCAGCTCGACCTCAAAGCTCGCGGCTTGACGCTCGATCAGATCGAAACCATCTTCGCGCAAGCGAAGGAAGGACGCATCGACATCATCGAACAGATGGAGAAGGTCATCCCCGCTCCACGCGAGGAGACCTCCAAGTACGCTCCGCGTCTGCTCCAGCTCAAGATCGATCCAGAGAAGATCGGCAAGCTCATCGGCCCGGGTGGCAAGACCATCCGCGCTCTGCAAGACAAGTACTCCGTCAACATCGATGTCGATGACGACGGCAGCGTGATCGTCTCGTCGTCCAATGCGATGAACGTCGAGAAGGCAGAAGCCGAGATCTCCGCGCTGTGCGAGGACGTCAAGGCCGGAACCATCTACGACGGAAAGGTCGTCTCGACCAAGGACTTTGGTGCGTTCATCGAGATCGCTCCAGGGACCGACGGCATGTGCCACATCTCCGAACTCGCGCCAGGATATGTCGAGTCCGTTGCTGACATCGTTTCTGTTGGCGACGAAGTCAAGGTCAAGGTCCTGCTCGTGGACGATCAGGGACGCATCAAGCTCTCGATCAAACAGGCAGACCCAGATTGGGAAGAGAAGGAGAAAGCAAGCAAGGCAGAACGTGCCGCGCGTGCTGATTCCGATGATTCCGACGAGGGTGGTGAAGGAGATGACGGCGAACAAAAGAAGAAGCGTCGTCGTCGCCGCCGTTCACGGAAAACCGAGTCATCCTCGGCTGAATAAGTCCTCGACCGCATTTCAGACATAAGTGAAACCCCCGAATAAATCTTGTATTTGTTCGGGGGTGTTTGACGCGCTGAGCGTATCTGGTATGCTGTACGTGTGTTATCGCACCTTGATGGCGATACGCATGCACCCGGACTGTGTGCCTGTCTCGTGGGTAGATCACGGTTGCCGGAGTTAGGAGACCGAGCGTTTGGGCTCGGGGACAGATATGGGCAACGAAGGCAACACGCTTACTGATATCCAAGGCAATGTAAAGTGGTTTGACCCGCGCAAAGGATTTGGGTTTATTGTCGGGCCGGACGAGCAAGACATCTTTGTTCATTACACAGTCATCGAAGGTGAGGGATTCCGTGTCCTTGCTGATGGATCTCCTGTCCAATACAGCGCCGAGAACGGCGATAAAGGTTGGCGTGCGACCAAGGTCACCGCTCTTGAATCCAATGAAACCAGCGATGACTCTGAACCAGAAGTCGTGGTTCCAAAGCGTACCTATTCGCGTACACCTCGTCGTTAACGAAACTTGAACAATCATCATCCAAGCAAGCACCTCGCTGAGAAGGTGTTCTATGCTCTTGTCATGATCTACATGGTCGGAGATCAACGATGAATGCACTGCTCTGGGTCATGCTCGGATGCGCGATCGGTGCACTCATCTCCGCGATGGTCGCGAGAGTCGCCGTGTCGCGTGCGTCCGCAAGAGCACGCGTGTCCCAGAAGCGAGCACGCTCTGCTGAACGACTCGCAGAGATTGGATCCATGACCTCGGGACTCGCTCATGAGATCAAGAATCCACTATCAACCATCGGACTCAACGCACAGCTCTTGGGTGAAGCGATCGAAGATCTCTCAATCGACGAACAGGAGAAGGGGCGGATGGGACGCAGGGTCGGAGCGCTCCGAAACGAAACGGATCGACTCCGAGGGATTCTCGAGGACTTTCTCGAATATGCCGGAGAACTCCATCTCGACAAACATCCGACCGATCTGAACGATCTGATCGAGCAGCTCGGAGACTTCTTCCATGTTCAGGCGCAATCCAGCGGCGTCCAGATCCGCTTGGATCCATCCCCTGTCCCAGTGAATATTGCTATTGATGCGAACCACATCAAGCAAGCCGTGTTGAATCTGATGATCAATGCCGTCAACGCGATGAAGGATGATCCCGCCGTAGGTAAAGACCTCATCCTCCGTGTGACCAAGCACCAAGATGACAGCGTCTCGATCCATGTGACCGACACAGGACCTGGGATCGAGCATGCGGATCAGGAGCGGATCTTCCATCCGTACTTCACAACCAGAGCTTCTGGGACAGGTTTGGGACTCCCAACGGCGAGGAGGATCGCAGAAGCTCATGGAGGATCGCTTGAACTCCACTCAGAACTGGGAAAGGGATCCGACTTCGCGATTCACCTACCCGCTCCTGTATCCGATCAAGCATCATGACCAATCTGATATGTCCTCACTGCTCGCTCTGTGGCGCTCTGGACGATACACTGTCTGATCTAGGAATCACCATTTTCAGGATGAAACAGAGGACCCTGACATGAAGATCGCGTACTCAACAACTGTCTGCCCCGGATGGACGCTGGATCAAGCGATTCAGACCGCTCTGGATCTGGGATACCTCGGACTTGAGATGCGTTCTTTTCTTGAGCCCCAAGCCGCGATGATGTGCGATCCGATGCGGATGGATCCACACGAGATCCGCGCCAAGTTTGAGCACGCCGGGATCACGCCAGTCGCTCTGGGGACAGGGGTTCGATACGACAAACCGATCTTCCCTCCAGTCATCGGTCACATCTTTGTGAACGCCGAAGAGGGGGTGGAAGAGACCAAGCAGTTCATTGACTTTGCAGCAAAGGCATCCGTCGATTATGTCCGCGTCTATGGCTACGAACTCCCACGCGCCGAACCCAGAGCGTGGGGACACCGCCGCGTCGGAGAACGACTCCAACTCGCGGCGCAAACCGCTCGCAATACAGATTCCATGCTGCTCATCGAGAACGGCGGTTCGTTCGCAAGAGCACAAGACCTACTCGATCTGATCAACGCTTTCCCGCATCCGTATCTCGGCGTGTCGTACAACATCCAAGCCGCACAGCAAGCCGGAGAGTGTCCTGTCGAAGGCGTGAAACTGCTCAAGGATCATCTTCACTGCGTGAAGCTGCTCGATGTGGACAACGAACACCATCCGGTCATGCTCGGAGACGGCGTGCTCCCTTGCCGACAGACAGTCGCGGCGCTCGATGACATGGGATTCGGAGGTTGGATCGTCTACAAGTACCCCAAACTCTGGGTACACGAAGACGGTAGAGATCCCCGCGAGGTCCTCAAGCACGCGAGCGATACGCTCTACGACTGGATGCAGGACGATGGAATGTCGTGCGGCACCGGATGTGAGTGCGACGCCGCGAGCGTGTAAGATCGCGTGTGAGCGATTCGATTTCAACACAGGTGATTGAGCACGCAAAACGCCACGGATTCGCACTTGCGGGAGTCGCTGATGTCGATCCATCAAAGTGGGGGGATCAACTTCGTAGTTGGATCGATCAAGGCAAGCAAGGCGAGATGGATTGGCTCGCAAACCACACCGATCTGCGGATTCATCCTGATCGCTTAATTGATGATGCTCGATCAATACTCCTCGTCGCGGATGTCTACGCGAGCAGAGCGGACAACATCGGTTCCCCGCTCGAGCAGGGGCAAGGAAGAATTGCACGCTACGCACGCGGCAAAGACTACCACAAGATCATGAAGAAACGCCTCATGGCCCTCGCCGATGATCTGCGAGCGGAGCATCCCGAGGCGCAGTTCAAGGTCTTCGTCGATACCGCACCGGTCCTTGAACGCGAGCTCGCGCAGCGAGCGGGGCTCGGATGGATCGGGAAGCACACGCTGCTGATCCACCCCAAGATCGGGTCGTACTTCTTCCTCGGCGGGATCGTCACCACGCTCGATCTTGAGCCCCCTGCGGATCAGCGTCCTGAACCTGACCACTGCGGCACGTGCACGCGCTGCATCGACGCGTGTCCGACCGATGCGATCACGCCGTATTCTGTGGATGCTCGCAAGTGCATCTCGTACTTGACGATCGAGCACCGCAGCGATATCGATCCCGAACTCGTGAAGCACATCGGCGACTGGATCTACGGCTGCGACATCTGCCAAGAAGTCTGTCCCCACAACTCACGGCGAGACGACGCACAAACGATCAACGATGCCTACACGCCGACGCGCGACCGATTCGATCTGCTCGAAGTGCTCAACTGGTCCGAAGACGACCGCCGCGAAGCGTTCAAGGGATCAGCAATGAAACGCGCCAAGCTCGACATGATGAAGCGTAACGCAAAGATTGTCGCGCAGAATCAGGGACTCACGCTGGATCAGTGAGCCGCTTACCTTTGAGCACAAACGCGCCGCAGAGGACGACGACGAATCCAGGCGCGAGCCATACGGATTGGCGCTCGATGAATCCCATCCAGAACATCGGAGCCGCGACTCCGATCGCGAGCCACATCATCCATCGCTGGAGCGGCACATCCGACGAGTGGGCGCGCACCACGCGGTAGAGCATGTACGCCGGGAAGACCAAGCCGTAAAACGTCAGGAAGCAGCGGTACGCGATCTCCCCGCCGCTGAGTCCGCTGTGCTGAGGCAAGCTCGCGGCTGAGAATCCAAGGAGTCCCGAGATCAGCAGCACAACAAACAACGCTCGATATCCGAGCAGTGGGTGTGGTTGGAGCGTCCCCATCCGATCCAAGTGGACGCGGACTGTGAAAATCCATTGGCAGAGGATGTGCACAAGAACCCCTGCCGCGATCCAAGGCGTCTGAATCGCGCTCAGCATACCCCCGCCGTCCATCGCACCCGCGATCAGACCGGCGTACTGCGTCGTGAGCACGATCATGAGCGCAAAGAACACGCAGAACCCGATCGTGAAACCGAGCCGACCCGATGACTGCGTGGGGAGGTTCTGACGCGCGTGGTGGAAGGTGATATCGAGATACGGGCACAGCAAGAACCCAAAGACCGAGATCGGGACGAACCACTCAACCCCAGACCTTGCCGGCGGCGACTCCATCAGCGAGTCCAGGGCCGGACGAGCTTCGGGTTTGATAAACAGCGCAACCAGCACCGCGGCGCTGATGATCCACAACAGCATGGCGAGCTGTGGCGCCTTGCCGAGCCGGACCAAGCGTCCCGACGAGAAGATAAACGCGACAGCGATCGCCCCAACCCCGAACAGATACTCGTTGGGCATGGGAAGCGCGATCTTGAGCGTCGAGATGATCCAGAAGATCCAGAACACATGGAACCCGATCGTGATCGCCGAGAACCACCAGAGCGCGATCGGATGACGCTCGACAAAGCTGACGGACTGCTCACGCGAGCGGAGCACCCAGCCCATAGCCGCGGCTCCGAGCACGTTGGGGATCGCGAACGCGATGAACCCTGCCCAGCCGAAGTCACGCAGGAGCAGCACAGGGAAGAACATCCCGATGCACCATGTCCATGAGCATCCGAGGTATGCGCCCCAGAGGATTGGATTGGTCGTCGTCGGCTGAGAACGGATCAGCGTGCTCTGCTCGCTCATGCCTTCTTCGTCCCGCGGAGTTTCTTCGCTTTGTGGTGCGCCTTGGGGGTCACGTGGAAGGTCGCTGTGCAGCGTCCGACCCGCTTGGGTTTCGCGGGTTTGGTGTTCGGATCATCCACCTCGTCCACGAGTTTCTTCTCGCTCATCGGGACGAGCACCTGGACAATATCCATGCGGATCGTGATGTTGAACTCTTCCCCAGTCGCGACGAGCGCGTGGATGTCCTCAAGCGGGGTCATCCGGTACTCTGCCGGGCCGTGACATGGACGCAAGAACTTGTATTCGAGATGCTTACAGACCACGGTGTAGTCGCCGCCGCAGACACTGAAGACGTAGTTCCCACCCGCGATCTCAGAGTTCCCGAGGAGTGCGGCACCCGCCATCGCGCTGTACCAGTTCTTGTTGAACCTGCGGAACGGGAGCGTCGCGCGGTACGTGTTCTCGTCCTGAGACATCTTGATCCCAGAGCGGAACGCGTACGGCAACCAGATCATCGAGCAGACGCGATTCCAGAAGTTGTTCCGAGTCGAGAGCTTCGAGATCCATGCTTCGAGACGCTCAAACAGGGTCCGCTTGGTCTTGGGGACCTTGGTCGGGCCGGGCTTTGGTTTCGCTTCCGCAGTCGATCCCGCCGCCTCGGATTCTGTATCGACAGGAGTCTCCGCTTGCTCCGCGGCTTCGTTCGTCGTGTCTTGGATTGGAGGCGTGGTCTCAGTGCTCATGGCTGCTCAGAAGTATAGATCGGAAATGACCATCCAGCGTTGCGAAAGCTCACGCATTGACAAGCTCGAACCACCCAGAATCCGTGTTCTTGACCGTATAGAGCGGATTCCCCGGCTCGTGGTCGAGCAGCAGCGTCCAGCCGTGCTCCGCGGCTTCGCTCAGGAACCAGTGCTTGGTGATCATCGAGGTATACGGCTCCACATCGTACGAGAGTGAGTACGCCTGTCCCAAGTGGTAATGCGTAGGCATCACATCGGGAGTGAACACGATCGTCCGCCCCTCAGTGTCCTCGAACTGCACCGCCTGCTGACCCCAGGTGTGTCCCGGAACGAGGAACACCTTGATCCCAGGGAGCACCTCCGTCATACGCTCAGCCGCGGTCGATTTGGGCATCTCGCCCTTCGAGGGCTTGCGATTGAGCGGGAACGGACGAGGAGAATCAATGAGACGCAAGCGAGCACGCCCGCCATCAAGCGGCATGCGCTCGTCCTCAAACGGCAGGATGTGGTCGCGGTAGTACGTCCGCGTCATCACTGCATCGTTGTTGCGAGCATCGACCCACTCGCGGCGCTGGACAATCAGCTCCGCGTTGGGGAAGGTGAACATGACCTCGTTGCAATCTCCAGACGCCGCGCCCTCTTTGGTCGCGACCCAGTCCGCTTCCTCACCATCGCGAGCTCGGCGTGTCAGACCCCCGGCATGATCAAAGTGCAGGTGCGAGACGATCGTCGCTTCGATGTCTGCTGGATCGACTCCAACGCCCTGGACCTCAGACTCAACCGTGCGCCCGTCGAGTCCGAAGATGCTGGACATCTTCTCGTCGAGCTTGTCGCCTGTCCCCGCTTCGATGAGGTAGCGGTGGGGCTTTCCGGTCTCCGGATCGACCTCTTCGGTTTCGAGGAGCACGCAGTTGTGCATCAGCTCGATCCGGTTCTTGTCATCCGGCTCAAGCGTGCGTGTCCAGACCACGCGCGGGATGATCCCGAACATCCCTCCGCCATCAAGGAGGAAACGAGAAGCACGAAGAAGTGTCCATTTGTATCGCATGACCAAGCGTAGGTTCAGCGCATCAAAAAACCGCCCGCAGGTGCGCGAGCGGCTTGAGAAATCAGAAATGATCCGGACGCTTTAGAGACCGTCCTTCTCACCCATCATGCGGAACATATCCACGCAACGGTTCGCGTAGCCCGCCTCGTTGTCGTACCACGAGATGACCTTGAAGAAGTTGCTGTTGAGCTCGATACCAGCGCCGGCGTCGAAGATCGACGAGCGAGGATCGCCGACGAAATCGCTCGAGGCGACCTGCTCCTCGGTGTATCCGAGCACGCCAGCCATCTTGCCTTCGGATGCTTCCTTCATCGCCGCGTTGATCTCCGCGAGCGAGGTGGATTTTTCGGTGCGGAAGGTCAGGTCCACCGCAGAGACATCCGCGGTTGGGACGCGGAACGACATGCCGGTCAGCTTGCCAACCGTTGCTGGGAGGCAGAGGCCGACCGCTTTGGCAGCTCCGGTGCTCGCCGGGATGATGTTCATGTACGCGTTGCGTCCGCCGCGCCAGTCCTTCTTGGATGGGCCGTCCTGAGTCGGCTGCGTCGCGGTCGCGGCGTGCACCGTGGTCATGAGACCCTCTTCGAGACCAAAGGTGTCCAGGATCACCTTGGTGATCGGCGCGAGACAGTTGGTGGTGCAGCTCGCGTTGGAGATGATCGTGTCGGTATCGGGGTTGTACTTCCCGCAGTTGACCTTGTGGACGAAGGTCGGGACGGTGTCTGGAGTCTTGGTCGGCGCGGAGATCATGACGCGCTTGCAGCCGTTGTTGTCGATGTGCTTCTGAGCATCGTCGCGCTGGGTGAAGAGTCCAGTTGACTCGAGGACGTAGTCCACACCCATGTCACCCCACTGGAGGTTGGTTGGATCGCGCTCCGCGGTGGTCTTGACGACCGTGCCGTTGACGGTGATGGTGTTCTCGGTTCCCGAGACCTCAGCGGGTTTGTGGTCGATCAGGAATCGCCCGTGCATCGTGTCGTACTTGAGGAGGTACGCGAGGTTGTCCGCCGGGACGAGGTCGTTGATCGCGACGACCTCGATTCCTGGGGTGTTGGATGCGATGCGGTGAACGAGGCGTCCGATGCGTCCGTAGCCGTTGATACCGATTTTGATGCTCATGCTGGTGTCCATCCTTTGGGTTGGCCGGTGCACCGGCCGATGAAGCCCGAAGAGCTCGGGCGCGGGTTTTGATTGAGTACGACTCTAGGTCACCACACGCGATGGATCAGCACGACGATCGGTCTAGGTGCGGATATCTGATAGCACGCGAGGCGGGAACGCCGCCCGCAGAGCATTCGCGACCGCGAAGACGTCGATGACCTCCTGCGAGATCGCCCCCGCGACTGGGGGGAGGTACCCCATCGCCGCGAGGATCATCCCCACGATGCTCAGGATCATCCCGCCTACAGCGGACTGGAGCGCGATCCGGCGCATGTGCCGAGCGATGTGGAAGAACTCGTCCACGCGCTCGAGCGACGAGTCCATAATCACCACTCCCGCGGCCTCGGTCGTGATGTCCGACGCCTGACCAAAAGCGATCCCGACTGTCGCGAGCGACAGCGCCGGCGCATCGTTGATCCCGTCACCCACAAAGCAGGTCCGCGCCCGCTCAGATTCGGCGCGGACGATCTCGACCTTCTGCTCAGGGGTCTGCTCCGCGCGGACCTCGCTGATCCCGACCCGCTCCGCGAGGTACTCCGCTTCGCTCGATCGGTCTCCCGAGACGAGCATGACCTTCTCGTAGCCGTGCTTCTTCCCGAGGTGCTGGATAAAGAGTTTCCCGTCCTTGCGTGGTTCATCACGGAACTGGATCGTCCCGGCGTACTTCCCATCGATCGCGACCACGCACTCAAGCCCCGCCGCGACCTCAGGGAGTTGTGCCGCACTGTCCGGATCGATCTTCACGATCGCGTTGCGACCAGTGATCAGCACATCGCTCCCCTCGATGCGTCCCGAGAGCCCCTGTCCTGGTTTCTCAGAAACTTCAGAAGGCTCAGAGCACGACACCCCAGCTAAGGTCGCTTTCTTGACGATCGCATTGGCGAGTGGGTGCTTCGAGTAGCGTTCGAGCGACCCCGCTTTGCGCAGGATCTCGTCCGGATCAAACCCCTCGGCTGTCAGGATGTCCGTCACCGTTGGTGTGCCGTAGGTCAGCGTGCCTGTTTTATCGAAGATGATCGTTTTGCAGGTCTCGATGGTTTCCAGAGCGGCGGGGTCCTTGATGACAATCCCACGCTTGGCGCTCAGGGAAATCGATCCGATGATCGCGACCGGGATCCCGATCAGCAGCGGGCAAGGCGTCGCGACCACCAGCACCGCGAGGAAACGCGTCGGATCACCAGAGATAAACCACGCAACGATCGCGAGCGCCACCGCGATGGGAGTGTAGTACGCTCCGAGCTGATCTCCGAGACGGCGCATGTGGGGTTTGCGTTGCTCCGTGTCGAGCATCACCTGCATGATCTTTGCGTATCGTGAATCCTGAGCGGGCTTGGTCGCTTCGATCGTGATCGCGGATTCGCCATTGATCGCACCGGAGAACACCGACGATCCCGGCGCCTTGGACATCATGTACGGCTCACCAGTCAGATACGACTCGTCCATCACGCCGTGCCCATCGATGACCACGCCATCAACAGGCGATGTCTCGTGCGGGAAGATCGTGACGTGGTCCCCGACCTGCACATCGTCGAGCGGGACATCCGTGAGCTTCCCACCCGCTTTGATGTGCGCCACAGAAGGCATCCGCTTGGCGAGCGCTTTGAGCACGCTCGATGCGTTCTGGACCGCGTATTCCTCGAGCGCCTCGCCGCCCGACAACATGAGCACCACGATCGATCCCGCGAGGTACTCGTCGAGCAGCACCGAGGTCACGATCGAGATCCCCGCGAGCAGGTCCGATCCAAACTCCTTGCGGAGCGCTTTCATCAACAATTCAAGCACCAGCGGCGTCCCACCAAGCACAAGACAGATCGTCAGCGGGATCCGAGCGGCCTCTGGACTCGCATCGAGCGCGAAGCGGAGGATCACATGAGCCGCGATGGTGACGATCGCGAGGATCGCGATGCTGATCTCGCGTGTGTCCCAGAGTTTCTTGAGGATCATGGACACTTCATCGCACCTATGCCATGCTCAGTTCACGCGTATTGCGGATTTGACCGCCAACCATCGTGAGGATCGCACGCGTTCCCATCTCCCATCCAAGGAACGGCGTGTTGACACTCTTGCCCGCAAGATCCGCCTCGCTCAAAGTCCAGCGATGATCTGGATCAATCAGCGTAAGGTCTGCTGGTCCGCCGACAGCAATCTTTCCGAGCCCCATCTCATCAAGTCCGCACAGTTTCGCGGGGTTGATGGTCATCAGTTCAACGAGTTTGGGCCAATCGATTATGCCGGTCTCTATGAGTGCTTTGTGGTAAAGTCCCAGAGCTGATTCCAAACCGATGATCCCGAACGGAGCATCAGACATCGGATTCCGCTTCTCTTCCGCGCTGTGTGGTGCATGGTCCGTCGCGAGGATCGTGATGATGCCATCCGCGATCCCTTGGCGCAATGCATCCACATCCGATTGCTCTCGCAGCGGAGGATTCATCTTCGCCATACTGGTTTGCGTTTCGATCGCTTCATGTGTGAGCAGCAAGTGGTGGGGAGACGCTTCACAAGTGACCGGAATTCCTTCACGCTGTGCTCGCGCGACGATCTCGACCGAGTTCCCAGACGACATGTGCTGGATGTGGTAGTGACATCCGATGGATTTGTTGAGCCGAATATCACGCTCGATAATCAGTTCTTCTGCTTCGCGAGGCCAGCCCTTGAGTCCGAGTTTCGCGGACACCGTGCCTGCGTGCATGACCGCGCCCTTTGTGAGCGTTAACTCCTGACAATGCTGCATGAAACACTTGCCCGTCTGCTTGACCGCTTGGAGCACGCTCCGCATCATCGACGCGGACTCGACGACATCGCCGTCGTCGGAGTACGCAACAGCGCCCGCATCGAGACACAGCCCGATCTCTGCGAGCCGTTCTCCCTTGCGTCCCATTGTCGCGGCTGCGACACTGAACACTCGGCAGTGTCCAGCTTTCTCGGCACGCGATCGCACAAACTCGATCATCTCCGGAGTATCCAGCGTCGGAGATGTGTTGGGCATGCAGCAGACCGTCGTAAACCCACCCGCGATCGCGGCTCGCGTTCCCGACTCGATATCCTCTTTGTGCGTCTGTCCCGGCTCACGCAGGTGGACGTGCGGATCGATCAATCCCGGAGCGAGGATCATCCCCTCGCCGTCGATGACCTGGTCAAACCCCGCAGGATCGATTCCTGAGTCGATCGCCGCAACGAGACCGTCGCGAACCCCCAGATCGGTGATCTGATCCGTCCCGGATGCCGGATCAATGAGACGTACGGAGCGAAACAAGACCGATTCGGGATGCTTTGGGGTGCTCATACCCAACGATAGGTCGCTCGGGCACTTGATTTAGCCTGCAGAGGTCTAGCTGGGAGTGGGTTGGTCTGAGCAGCGATGACGGACTATGCTTCACACCGGTCTGATCTCAGGCCGAATCCGGGATGTAGCGCAGCTTGGTAGCGCGTTTGACTGGGGGTCAAAAGGTCGCAGGTTCAAATCCTGTCATCCCGATTTAGTATCTACTACGCTTCCTCATGAAGTGCACCTTGGATCGCCTCACGCTACCAGTCAGTCCAACACGTGACAACATCCCCACATTTGGAACGAATAGCCCGCTCAGAGGGGCTGGATTAGTCTTGATTTTTTCTTTGGATCATGTAACTTGGTGTCACAGACCATCCCTATGGAGAATCCATATGTTCAGCAGAATCATCTCGGCGAGCGCGGTACTCATACTCGCCACACATCTCTTGCACGCACAACCCGTCATCGAGGACGACCCCGAGTTTGGGGCTGGATCGATCACAGTAGATCCGTCGCAGAACCTGGCGTTCCTCGACCTGACGGTCACGAAGGACATCCCCTTCGCGACGATGCAGACCGAGCTTCTCCCCGGCGGCGCGTACGAACGCTGGCGCTACGCGACACCAGGAGAAATCGCCGCCCTCGCCAACTCGTTCGGGTGGACTCCCCCGATCACAAACCCAACAGATACCGCGGGGATCCTTGTCATTTCTTCAACAGTCGCACAGGACATCGTAAATGCCATCGGAATCACATCGATCGGTTTCCTGGATTCGGAGTTAGCTTATGGGTACCTCCAAGACGAGGACGCGATCTTTATTGCGTGGAGGCCACGCCTTTCGAACTCGAGTTTGTACACCTATACCCCCCTCCCGGATATCGAGAGCTTTGACCTCGGTCATTGGCTCGTCCGTGATCTCCCAACACAAACCCCGACATATCAAGGAACGCTCGCAGATATGGGCACCCCAGTCGACTCGGATGCGGATTTCCGCGTCTCTCTTCTGACGCAGTTCGGGTTCGCGCTCGAGACGATCGAGCACACGCAGGTCCATGTCACCGACGGCCTATTTACGATCCCTCTGAGCTTCGACCCGACGCTCTTTGAAACCCCCGGCGCGGCTCTGCGCATCGAGGTTCGCGCTCCCTCAGGAGCAGGGGACTACGAAACCATTACCTCCGACCAACCGATCACCCCGGCGCCCATCGCTGTGTTCGCGACCAGCGCCTCGAGTGCAGACTCGGCCAATGTCGCGTTGACGCTGAGCAATCAGGACTCAAGACCGCTGAGCCTGTTCACTGGAACTGAGCCCTACGGCGCTGGATACCTGCCACCAACCGCGACCCGAATCGGGAACACAGTGACGCTCAACGGGCTGGTTCGAGATGTTGGGAGCTCAAGCTTCCCTGCTGGGAACACGTTCGCGATCCTCGACGAAGGCATGCGCCCGAACGGCCGTCTCGTCTTTCTTCAAGCGAGCAGCGCCGGGGCTTACCGGATCGATGTCAAAACTGACGGCACGCTTTCATTCCAAGGCGCGCCCGGTGTGGGCGGCCCCATCGACTGGGTCTCGCTCGACGGCATCTCATTCCCGATTGAGTGAGCACACATTTCGCTGCGAAACGAGAAGCCGGGTTTCAGGGCCCCAGATCCTTATCCAGCTTTGGAAAAGTTCAACTGGTGTCCTGTCACCCCGATTGG